TTTGAGACGGAGTCTTGCTCTGTCGCCCAGGCTAGAGTGCAGTGGCATGATCTCGGCTCACTGCAACCTCTACCTCCAGGGTTCAAGCAATTCTCCTGCCTCAGCCTCCCAAGTTGGGATTACAGGCATGCGCCACCACACCCAACTATTTTTTTTGTATTTTTAGTAGAGACTGAGTTTCACCATATTGGCCAGGCTGGTCTCCAACTCCTGACCTTGGGATATGCCTGCCTCAGCCTCCCAAAGTGCTAGGATTACAGTCATGAGCCATTGCATTCGGCTGAAAGGTTTAACAGTATTTTTTATGAAAATGTGCTGTTCTGTGTAACTCCTGTGTATGGTGCATACTGAGCTTTATTATTCTCACAGACTTACAGTTTCTTATTTTTACACAGAATCACGGTACTACTATAATTTTAAAACCAGTTGGATTAATTGTTGTCTACCCATTAATAAAATATGGGTAGAGTTTTTTGGGTTTCTTTTTGAGACAGAATCTCACTCTGTCACCTAGGCTGGAATGCAGTGGCACAATCGCAGTTCACTGCATCCTCTAACACCTGAGCTCAAGTGACCCTACTGCATCAACCTTCCCACTAGCTAGGACAACAGGTGTGTGCCAATACACCCAACTAATTTTTTTTAAAGTGATTTGCCCTGGCTGGTCTGACTTGAGCTCCTGGCCTCAAGCAATCCTCCTGCCTCAGCCTCTCAAAATGCTGAGATTATAGGCATGGTTTGCCATGCCTGGCCCAGGGTGGAGTTAATTTTGAATGCAATCTGCCATTATTCACAAATGAGGCTGTGAATAATGAGTTATTAATTATCTTTATTCTATCTTTTTAATAAAATGTCAAGTTTTCTGTTATATTATGGGAACCAAGAAACGTTAGACATCATTATGTGCACAGACCTACACAGATAAGCAAACAAAACAGAACGGAATAAATGCTAAAAAGTGTGAAACAAAAAAACTGCAACATCTAGTTTGCTATATTCATTAAAATAAAAAACCTATAATAATGAATTATCATTTTAGCAGCTGAATGTTTAAAAATGAGAATTTGTGGCTGGGTGCAGTGGCTCATGCCTGTAATCCCAGCACCCTGGGAGGGCTATGCAGTTGGATCATGAGGTCAGGAGTTCGAGAACAGCCTGACCAACATAGTGGAACCCTGTCTCTACTTCTAAAAATAAAAAGTGAGAATTTGTGTTTTCTCATTTATTGTACATGGTAATAGCTTAAGTATTTTTATTTCAGCATTAACAACTGCTATGGTATATTTTGCCTGAAAAGACTAAAACCCATTCAAATTTATAAAAGTATTTCCCAGAAAAAAAAATACAGTGAACAGAAATATTTATTTTGCCTAAGTGAACTTGAGAGGCCTATTTGGGGTAATTTAAGCTTAATAACCCCTTCTCTTAAAAACAAACCACAAAAACATAAAAACAAACTCACATACATACTGCTTTATAACCTGTTTTTTTCACTTAATGTATTGTAAACATTTTTCCCTGTCATTACATATTCTTTTTTGTTTTGTTTTCCCCACTTAATGGTATTCAATACGTATTCTTTTATATTATTTTTATTGTCCTATTACTGTTTTTACGG